GTCGTCCCCATGCGGCCGGCGGAGAAGGTGTCAGGCAGGTACGGCGACTCGGCGGCCCGGCGGCCTGGGAGCGGGTGTGCGAGCGTCGGGGCGCGGGAAACCGCTCGGGCCTCCCGGAGCGGCCGGGCGTGGAGCGGCGGGGGTCGGCCGGGTCAGGCTCGCCTCCTGAGCGGTGCCCGGGGCCTTCGACGACGGTCGCGTCTCCATTGCCCTGCAGCGCAGCGCGCCCTGGCCCGGCCTCCAGAAAGGCCTTCGTGCACGTGGGGGCCTGGCCCGCGCGGGCCCCGCAGGCCGCCGCTGCCCGGCTCACTCCTGCCTTCCTCCCCGCGCCTGCTCTAGCTCCGTGAGTCTCGCAGAGGTGTGGGACCAGAGGGCGATCGGGAGCTACCACGAGCTGTTCGCGGCCTCGTTGGGCAACCTGGAATGGTTGCGGTTAGGTCTAAATCGGCACCGGGGGGAAATCCCGGCCGATAACAAGGTAAGGCCTCGGAGCTCAGGGGTGGGGACCGAAGTCGTCTCCACCCCACAGAGAGCTCCGTACGTAGTAGTTACCTAGCGAAGAGTGCCAGGGGAGCATCCGGAGGTGTCCTTTTCTGGGTAGATGGTCCCAATTCACCTTCCAACCGTCTGGAAGGCCATTTTGGGGGAGCGAGGAAGGGTGAGCGATACGGGAGTGGGAAAGGGGTACGTGCGATTCCCCGGGGCCACAGAGAAGAGGGGGAGGGTAACCCCAAGAAATTGCTCTCTAGGTTAGGTTGTGGGCCCTGGGTGCCAGTCCTGCTCAGCCTCTTCCCGCCTCCTCTGGCCCCCACAGGGTTTCACTGCCATCCACTTTGCAGCCCAGAGCGGCAAGCTTGCATGCCTGCAGGTCTTGGTAGAGGAGTACAAGTTTCCCGCGGACCTGCCCACCAACAATGGCCAGACACCTCTACACCTTGTCATCCAGAGTGACAAGAAGACCACGGCCCTCCCCTGCATTCACTATCTGATTAAGCAAGGGGCGGCCCTCAACACGTGAGTCCAGCCTATGAGGGGAGAGTGGCTTGGAGGCTGGGCAGATAAGAACCCCACTTCCAGGCAGGCAGATCCAAGCACGTCAGGCAGAGGGGCTGTGGAGTGACAAGGATTGATTCCCACATGAACAGTCAGAGAGCCCACATGGTGTCGTGGTTAAGAGATTTTGGGAGAGGACAGACCTAGTTCATGTCCCAGCTTTGCTACCTGCTACCAGACAGAAAAACCTCAGGCAAGTCACTCAACCCTAAGCCTCAGTGCTCTGGTTCCCAAACCTGTCTGTACACAGGAATCACCTGGGGAGCTTCAAAAATACCAATGCCTGTGTTCCAATCCAAAGGTTGTCATTTAATTGGTCTGAGGTGTGGCCTGGACTCTGGATGGCTCAAAAGATCCCCAGCTATTTCCCATTTGCAGCAGAGTTTGGGAACTACTTGCCTCAGTCTTCAACTGAAATTTGGGGGGATGACAGTGCCTATCACGTGAGACTATTGTGATAATTGAGAAAATGCATGGAAAGTGCATGGATGGCGTATAGGAGACTGCATTCATTCAAAATACTTATCCAGCATGTAATGTGCTAAGCGCTGGGCCAGAGTTGAGGAATACAATGGTGAACATACAGCAATGGTCCCTGCCCTCGTAAAGCTGATATACTAGTGCAGGAGCGGACAGCCAATTAGCAAACTAATAAATGAACAAAATGATAGAGTGTGGTAAGTGGTTATGAAGGGTATAAACAGGGTGGTGGGGTGGTGAGTAAAGCGGGCAGGGAGATCTATTTGGGAAGAGCAGTTACCTCTAAGGAGAGAATGGAGAGGTGAGGCAGCCTAGCAAAGCCAAGGAAAAGTGTTCCAGGCAGAGGTGTAAAGGCCATGCTGGGAGAGAGTGGGGCAAGGTCAGAGGACAAAGTTGGGGAGGAAGCAGGGCCCCAGCCATGCAGGCCTTGTGGGCCATGGCTAGGTGTGGGGAAGGGGCAGGAGGGCTGAGTGGTTTAAGAGGAGATGAGGTTAGTGGTCTCTGAGCTCCAGCCAACCAGCTCTCCTTCTAGCATTTCCTCATGGTCACATACCCCATAATCAGACTTTTGCTGTTCATTTAGTCCAAATCTTCCTTCTACAGTTGAAGAAACTGAGGTACAGAGAGGAGAAGGGACATGACAGGGTCACCCAGTGGACTGGTGGCAGAGCAGGCCTGGAAGCTGGTTGGCTCACCTATCTGACAGGCAGATGCCCTTCGTCCTTCCTTTCTGCCCTCCTCCCCCCACCTGCCCTGGCGGGGCCCTCCACAGTCAGACATGCAACGGCTCCACACCCCTGCACCTGGCAGCCCGCGAGGGCCTGCTGAGCTGTGTGAAGGTCCTGGTGCAGAAAGGTGCCAATGTTCATGCCCAAGATGCCATGGGCTGCAAGCCCATCGACTACTGCAAAATATGGAACCACCGCATCTGTGCCCGGTAAGGCTGTGAGAACCAACCCTGCCTGTCACCCTTCCCCGGGGCCCTCACCCAGAGCTGAGCATGTAAGAGGAGGGTCTCGGGGTGAGCCTGCAGAGGGGCCTCTCCCCAGGATGCTATTCCCAGGGCTCTCCACAGGGCCCCACCCCTGAGGTTTAGCGAAGCCCCAGCTCCTCGGCAGATGCTTTAGCCAGAGGGGCCTCGGGCAGTGGGGATGGGTCATCTTGCTCATCTCACCTCTGGCAGCTCTGCGCATTCCCACCCAGGCCCTCAGCAGCAGCCAGTCTTCCCTGCCCAGGGCGAAGCTCAGTCACGGGAATGACACGCCCCCGCCTCGGCACCAGGTTCTTGAAGGATGCCATGTGGAAACAGGACAAGAAGGACTTTGCCTGTGAGATGTGGAAACTGAAGAGGCTCAAGAACCAGCTGGCCCTCATGGAGGAGGACTACTTGACTGAGTATCAAGTAAGGGGTAGGGCCAGTAGGACGGGCAGGGGCACCGGCCATCCAGGCATGTGAGCAGAGGAGGCAGGGACCCACATGTGCAGTTAGTTAGAAGAGTGGTTAGAAGTGGTCCCATCCAGAAAGAGCCTCCCTCGCCCCCTCCTCTGAGGAGGGCTCCAGGAGGGTGCCGAAGGGATAACGCTCAAGAGGACTCTTTAAAGGTGGGCAGCAGTTGGCCATATGAAGAATCAGGAAAGGACTAACCTGGTAGAAGGAACAGAGAGCCCTGTGGAGAGGCATAGAGGCACATGAGAGCATGAAGTTTGTCAAGAAGTGCAAATTCAGTACAGCCGGGGGATCAGATGTGAGCTGGAGACTGACAAGCTAGAGACCTGGCAGGGGCCCAGATCAATGTCAGGCCTCAGCTGGGACAGAAAAGGAGAATAAAGGATTTTAAGCAGGTATAATTACACAGGATGTAAGAACCAGAAAACTCCAAAAGAAGATGCTGGGAATCCTAAGCGGATCCAGGAGTTGGGAGGGCTTCGGGGCTGGCACAATCCGGTACTCCAGCTGTTCCAGCTGCATTCCTTGCCAAATTTCCCTGTCCTACCCTCCGTTGTCAGTGTCACCCAGCCTTCATAGTCATGTATGTATCCAGAGGAGGCAAAGCCCATCTGTTCCTGTGGCTCTAAGATTTCCCAGAAGCCCCTTGAAGATCTCCCCTTATCTCTTATTGGCCTCAACTGGATCATGTGTCCATTCTTGTTCCAATCCCTAGAGCTAAAAGAAAGCCATATGTTGACTGACTTAGGTCTGGGGGTGAGGCTGATGGAATTATTATGATTGGCTTAGCCTAATCAGAGCCTACATCTGAAGCTGGGTCAATCTCCAAACCACCTGACTGCTTAGCAACAGTCTGGGAAGTGAGACACTGAGATGCGGAGGGGGGAAGGGGTCGGTTCTGTGACAACGAGTTGAAGGTTCAGCTCTAGTGGAGGCAAGGACAGAGAGCATCACCACCCAGCCTGGAGAGCCAGCCAAAACTGTCTCTCTCCCTACACTGACCACTCAAGGCCCACCACTTCCAAGAAGCCTGCCCAGATTAGCTCCATCCAGTTCCTAGCCTTCCAAACTTTTCTGCTTTCTCCTTCCAGGGTCAAGGATAAGTCTGCATCACTCATTTGCCTTTTACCCCATCAACCCAGAGACTCTCTTAGGGCAGGACAGGTCTCCACCATCAGACTGGGAACTCCTTTAGTGGGGGTGGAGGCTGGTCTCCCCCATTAAGACTCAAGTTTTTCCATAGGGCAGGGACTGTGTCTTCCCCCTCAAGTTGGAGACCTCACCTAGGGCAGACGCTGTATCTCCATCAGATTGGAGGTCTCTCCTATGGGAAAGGCTCTGTCTGTCCCATGAGCCCAGGGGCCCCCTCCAGGCAGTGGCTGTCTCCCCATAAGAACAAGGGCTCCCACAGGCAGGGGTTTCTCTCATCATACTCCGGGCTCCCCGGAGGCAGGAAGGTATCTACTCAGTCAGAAAGCTGAGGTTTCCAGGGCTGCCGCCACAGGGCCCCCTTCCACAGAAGCACAGGGGGAGTAGCCCTCCAGAACTATCTTGTGCCTTCTGATATTACAGAAAGAGCACCAAATTCTGAGAGAAGCTGACTTCAAGAAGTGGCTCCATCACAAGCTGCTGCCCCAAGGCCAATCCCTGATCCGCAACACTCAGGGAGAGCCCCGTCCTCCACCCCAGGCCACTGTGCTCTCCAAGACCCCCAAGCACGGGGCACTGTGGCCTCCCAAGAGCTTCTACCCCTTCCGAGAGGCGCGCCTGCGACAGACACTGCAGCCCAGTCAGCCCTCGGTGATGCCTATACCCACCTGCAAGCAGCCCATGGTCAGGCGGCCCAAGGTGTGGAATCTCAGCAACAACCCTGCCAGGTCCCCCACCGCCCAGATAGGCTACCCGCAGGGCATCCGCCTGGGCGTGCATCCCGACCCCAAGCCGGAGCACGACTTCCGCTGCTTCCTCGAGGTGAGGTCCGACGGGCACGGCGGTGCGCTCCTGCGCACGGTGGCCGGCAACGAGGTGGCGCCTGTGCCCCGGCTGCCTTTAGAGGTGATAATCCGCGAGCTGTACCCGTCGGTGCAGCCGTGCAGGATGAAGGTGCCCCAGGGCTTCTGTTCTGTCACCATGAGAGAGGTGCCCCGGAAGCGGCGCCTGGGTGATGCCACCTTCTGGACCGACACTCTGAGCATGAACCTGAGAGAGACATTTGACGAAGGCTTCCTGGCAGCTGTGCGAGCCCATCAAGGGCTCCCCACTCTGCCCTCCCCCAAACCAACCCCCATTTAAACTTATTTTGGTAGCCTCCCGACTGGAGGCTGCCCAGTGAAGGCTGAGGTATGGTGATTCTGTATGGATGGGGAGGAAGGGGGAGTGCCCACAGGCTGCCCACCCCCAAGCTCAAGGATCAGAGCCCCCTCCCCGACAAAACCCAGCTCCCAGGTCTCCCTTCTCTCCACAAAGGAATCTCTTGGACCCCACAGGAGATCCAAGTTAGGGCAGTAGCCCAAGGCTCAGAGTGGGGATCCTCCTCTATCCTGGGCCCTAACATTGTAAAAGTGACACCTTGGTGTCCCCATTTCCCCTCCTCACACCCAACAGCTCACCAGGGACAAGGATTCCAGGATGAGGGACCACTGGGAAATTCTGCCTCTTGTTCATATTAAGTCCTTCCTGCTGCAGGTTCTAAGCCTCACTCTGCATCTCCAGATCCAGAACAGGGAGGAAGAGAGCTAATGTGTCACCCTGCCATTGGCTTCCCTGCCACTATGGGCTGCCATCCTTCATTCCCAGCTGCCACTGGGGTTTCTGCAGCACAGGGAGGCACAGGCAGCCTTTCTGGAGAAGGGAGGAAGGACCTATGGCTTCAGTTTGAGACTGAAAGCACTTGCACTTTCTCCAGGAAGTTATCCTGGGTCCCCTGCTATCCCCTGTACACACCACTACAAATCATTCATTAAACAAACATTTATTGAGTACTTTCTATGTGCCAGGTGCCAAGCTGGGCACGGTTGATACAAAAACTGAAGGACAATCCCTGCCCTCAAGGAGCTTACAGTCTAATGGGGAGATAAACCAGTAAGCAGGCAAGTAAGCCCAGAGTGATCTGTGTGGTGTGCTGGAGGGAGAGGGGACATTCAAAGTTCCTTGGGGCAAGTGAAATCTAAGTTGAGAACTGACAGAGAAGGTACTCAGGCGAGCAGAAGAAAGGGAATTAAAGTGGCATCTCTGGATACAGGAGGCCGAAAATCAGAATGCAAGGTGGCAAGTGATGAGGCCAGAGAGGTGAGCGAGAGCCGGGACACCACGAGCCTCACGAGCCATGCTCAGGGGTCTGGACTTTATCCTGACGGGGGGAGCCATGGAAGGCTGTAAGCCAGGGAGTGACTGGATCAACCATGCATTAGAAAGACAACTCTGGCTGTGGGATAGAGAAGCAGAAGGAGGCTGTCACAATAATCCAGGTGAAAGCTGCTGACAGAGGGAGTGGCTCAGATCAAGAGATGTTAAGAAGGTAAACTTGACAGCTGTTAGAGACTGGATGTCAGGGCAGAAAGAGAAAGCAGGTTTCTGGTTGGGCTCCTGAGTGATCTTGGGGTCAAGGCAGGTACCCAGAAAAGGCAGGTTGCAAAGGGCGGCACTAAGTGCTATCTGGGCCATGAGAGTTGTCTGTGTGCCCAAAGGCAGCAGAACTGTGGTTCAGAGGACCGAGAGGGATGCTGGGGCTGGCTGTCGGCTCTCAATTCCTTGAAACCATCAGCACGGATGGGCTCCTCCAGGGAACCCACGACCAAACCCTGAGAAACCCCACTGCACGGTGGGTGAGTGGAGGGGCCTGCACAGGACCCGGAAAGGAGCAGCCAGAGGGAGAACCAGCCACAGAAGTGCTCGGGACGCTGGGGGTGACGAGCCCTGCCCGATGCTGCACAAATCCAGAAAGAGGAGATATGAAGAGGGTCCGCTGGACTTAGCACAAGGCCACTGGCAACCCCCAGAACACTGGCAGTGGAGTGAATGGAGGGCAAAGCCACACCACTGGGGTGAGAAACAAAGAAATGGACAGCAACGGAGAGCAAGGCCAGCTGCTGGCCAGCAGTCAGGACACTGGCCTCCAGTGTCCTCCACCTTGTCCTCCCTTGTCTGCATAGGGCAAAAGGGCCTGGCAATCTCAGTGCCACTGAGAGAAGGCCAAAATGTACTGCTCCTCCCCAGGAAAGGGGAAGGCTGGTATTTTTAAGAGAACGGGAATGCTAGACCCAAGGAAATGAAGGGCTACGGTGGGACTTGAGGCAGGATGTAGAGGTAAGATTTTCAAGCACAGAGGTCTTCCCTGTGGCTGAAAGGTACCACATGTGTGCAGCCCATCTCTGCACCTGTCTGCTTTGCTTTGAGGTATAGGACATGTCCGGTAATGGCTCTCGTGGGGACTTCATTCGCATGTGTACTGCTGAGTACTTGTAAGGCACTGTAGTTGGAACGCAAGGTCAACAAATGCTGGCCTGTGCCCAGGACCTGGCCTGCCTTTTTAGAAGACTGATCACCTCCCCAGGAGCCAAGGCCACTCAGAAGAGAGGGCCAGCCCTTGTGCGCTCTTAAGAGTGAAGAACAGCTTCTCTCACCAGCCGTTTCTTACAAAACAGGCTGTAGCCCAGGCTGCCACGAAGCCAATTTTTAATGTTTCTCCTCGAGCCTGAGATAGAATTCAGCCAGAAACCACTCTCTTCCCTAGGCGAAGACTTATAAATAGGATACTGTACATGTTCTCCTGAAAAATCTAACCCAGTCCCACACCATCCCCTCTCTGCCCCAAGTCTGACAGTCATGGAGCCCTGAGGAAAGAAGAGATGGAAGGAGAGAGAAGGGGATTAAGAAAGGCCGCATCCTTCCCCACTCCCCCGCCTCCCACTCCAGGCTCGGCTCCTCACCTCTGTCCCCTTCCCACTAAGGGCCACAAGAACAGTCCCTTCGGAAAGGCAAGACCCAAACCCAGAGAAGGAGCCCCTGGCGCAGAAAAGCCAGTCCAGGCGGAAGGTCAGC